TTATTTTGTACGCATTCCACGATATCGGGCAGTTCTGGAAATGTACCAAGTCGGTGCCCAGCTGCTAATTTAATTTTAGAAAACTGGATCTGTGACGCAGTGGTTATTGTTGCATTGTTGGTGGTTGCAGAATGTTGAGATTAGTGCACGGCTGGGGTCAAGGTGCTCGTTTATAATGCAGGAGGAGGTGTAGCACCGCAAGTATTTACAGTTAGGTTATTCTTAACACGGATACAAACTCCTCTTGCTGGTACGTCGTCTGAATGTTAAAATCTCTGATAAGCTACCGCGAATCTGATATGAACCTGCTGCGTTGTCAAATAAGAAACATTCTTTATTTGGTAGTTACATTGTCAACAGTTCTGCAAGGACATTTAGGTCATAGTGACTAAAGACTTTTTTTTTTTTGCTTTCCCAAATTCACTGCTTGTTGTTTTGTAATGGTAGACTGTAATAGTAGTCAATTCTTGATCTTGGTCAGCTACAGACGCATTAAATTGCAAAATTTTGTCGGAGGACTTTTTTTTACAATTAAGTACAAGTGCCAATTCTAGTGAAGTTGATTTACCAGTTTTTACCTTTTCTAATGTATTCCTTTTGTTGAAATAATTTTAAATGATATAAATGTTTTTGACAATAAAGAATATAACTGTTGCATGTGACGGCAGGCCATTTGGCCCTTTGTTGGTAATTAATTGATCCAGGGATCTCTTCCAGATGTTTCTTGATAGAAGCTAGGCTGTCAGCCCCCCAAAACATGGCTGGACAGTTCGTTCCATTCTCCCACAACCCTTTGTGTAGAGAGGTGTCTCCTGTTCTCAATTTTAAAAGCACAGAGTTTGTACTTGTGTCCTCTGGTTCGTGTCTCACTGTTTATTCCAAAGTCCACTGGGTTGACTCAGTCATTGCTTTGAGGATTCTAAATATTAGGTATATGCAAGATTTTCCTAAAGCTGTTTTAAAGATTTCCTGTCATAAATATTGGGATGACATACTTCTCTGGCATCATTGTAAGCCATCACTTGATTTCAACCTGTATTATTGCTTAACAGGTCCTTGATCTTTATTTGATAACTTGAACGAATATCATAAGTTTTTTTTTTGTGATTCGTTCCCTCCAGACCTTGATGTCAGTTCCTTTTGGCGAAGGAAAAACTGCATCATTTTCTGTAAATGCCACCCAGAACGTAGATGCTATAAAGGAACGAGTTAAAAGTTTATTCCGTGCCGAAAAGAGAAGAAAGGAGCCTTCTTCGGGGGGTGTTTGTGTTTTTCTTCTCTTTGTAGCATGGAATAAACCTTTTACTTGTTCCTTTGCAGCCTGCACGTGCTGATGCAGATACCCACCTGAACTACCACAGATGCTATAGTTTCTTCAGGTCACGCACAGCAGCTCTGTGTGTTGTATACACAGGCTCTCTCACTGCCCTAAACTGCTTTCCTTGGTCCTGGAGGACAAGGCTGAGTTTCAGCCTTTCCCTGTCTGAGCTGGGTGCTGCTGGCTGCCTCCCTTCCGTTGTCTGTGACCTTGGAGCAACCCATCAGCCCCTGTCATTTTCTCCAGAGGTGGCTGCAGTGTCCGAGTCGGTGCGAGGCACTCCAGTGTCTGTCCTGTCATTACTGCCATCCGAAATCAGCATCTCATGTCCTCTGCAAACGTGGGTAGCCAGCCCTGCAATTAAGCATCTATATAATCCTACTGCTGTGCTGTTGCCAATTTTTAAGGAAAAAAATGGAATTTTGGTGGAGAACCAGAGGACAAGTGGAAAGTATGTGGAAGTTCATTTAAAAAAAAAAGACAACAGGAGCCACCACTTTACACAAAGGGTCGTAGGAGTGTGGAACAAGCTGCCCAGCCATGTTGAAAGAAGCCATGATCTTTCTTCGGTTAAAAACTGGTTGAGGTCCTCCAATCAGGACAAGATGCTTCTTTACGCAATGGGTGGTGGGAGTAGGGAACAAGCTTTCCAGCCATGTTGTTGGTCAGTCAGTATACTTTTAAGAAATGGTTAGATGATATATTTGGTTCAATTGCTAACTCCCAAACAGGACTCGTGGCTTTTTCTCATCTGGCACCTTTTATGTTCTCATGCATTTATAGCGCAGTGTGGAGTATTAGCCTTCATGGGTGATCAAGCTAAGATATTCTTATGATGAGCAATATGTTCAGGTCTTCACTGCTGCAAAATCATTTGCTCTTCTGCCTTAAGGGTTTTCTCTTTAATAAGGGTTTCTTTAATAAGAAGCTGCTATGATATTCGGCTTTTGTTCTAACCTCTCTCATGGTTTAACATCTAGACAGCTTCTGAGAGGCTACTAAAAGCCTTGCATAAGGGATCGTGTGGTTAACCATGGTGCTTATTAGAGTTCTCGGAGGCCTGCTGCAGAAGTTGGTGCGATAATAAAGATTTGAAAAGGCTAAATGAACAGAAGGAGGAATCAGGTGGGGGTACTGTACGTATAAGGGACTACACAAAAATATTGTGCATTTGAACTTTCAGTAAAGAATGGCTTTCAATGGAAGTGCTGAAAAGGGAAGCACTGTATGCTGAGCGGATTTGGGAAGTGCAGTAAACAAAAAATTAATTTTGTCAAAGCTGAAATGAAACCTGGACCATGACTGTGTAAAATGCTGGATGTGTTGCAGATTTCAAGGGTGCCTTTAACGTGATGAAGGGAGACCATTGTATGCGTGCTTAACCCTGGTTCTCTTGGTCAGAGCTGTCCGTTTTTCTGATCTTGTGCTTGGTTTGGATGAAGGAAGACCAGAGCAAAGGAAAAAGTTCATTCATCAATGAGCTCTTGCTTATTCACACTGAACAGCCATGATGAACATAGGTCTTCGTTGTTAGGGAAAATTTAGGACCCAAGACCTATGGCTTTGAAATTTCCTTTGAGCATTCCTTGCACACACATTTATGAAACGTATCTACTTTGTAAAATGAGTCTCTAGCTATATACAATCCATATTTTAATGTTTACTTGAAGTAACATTTTTTTAAAATCCAAAATTGGTTTACTGATTAACTGTATGATCAAGATTGTGATCAAGAAGCTTTTTTTGCAAGATACTTTTGTGTGTTTGACACACACAGCAGTCTTTCACATCCTGATGTGTTGATTAGACGATCACAAGTGTTGACAATGGAGAGATTTGTAAATTCAGTCTAATCGTTCTTTCCAGTGTCCTGTAATTACAGACATTGGACAAGTTTTATTTTTTAACTGGGAAGGGCAAGACGGACATTCCTGGCTTCCAGATTGGCACAGGAGAGCACAACTGGGGCTTGGTTCTAGCTATTGCTGTATTATGAAATCCTTTCTGCTGTACAAGTTGCTCTTGAGAAGAAGACTGCTTTAGATTCAAAATGGACTATTACTGAGCAGAGATTAATGTGCTGTCAAAACATACCCATTTATACAGCATAACCAAAGTCAGTAAAATGGAAGTTTACAGTACATCAGATTTGGTTATCTAAATAAAAAGTTCTGCACACATAAAAGAACAGGTTTCTTTGCTGATGTCATTCGGTTTTATATAGTTTAATGTTTATTAAATGAGGAATAGAACAACCAGATTATATAATAACAATCACTTTCATCAATTTGCAAGGCCAGTAGTTTTCTCTGTATATACAGTAATGTAGAGTTAAGTGCATGACTTCACTTTATCATATCCGAATGTGGGTAGGGATCAGGGAGCACCTTGGCCAGCCCTATAGTGTCTGTTAACATCTGTTCCTAATGGTTCAGAGTTATGGAAAAAAAAGTAATGTATCACTGTTACGTTTCCCCGAGACCTTTACTTTGGACAAGTGTCAAGGAAAACATGTAAGGCATTGGAGGGTGTGGGTTCTGGGGCTGGATCCAGTTTTTCCAGGAGGTGCCACCCTGCCCGTTTCCCACACATCAGCGCCTCTCTCCACAGTCCTTTGCCGAGATAAAGAATTGCAGTGCCACTGAAGGTAGGAAGTGAGCTTTGACTTGGCAGCAGTAATCACAGTAAATGTAGGGCAGTTTATAGACCTTGGGTTCCTTTTCGGCGACCTTTTGCTTTTCACTGGTACATTCCCTTCAAAAGTAGTTTGTAGATGGTACTTGTTTTCTGTAAGGGGTTTACAGTAGGTGCAGCCTTGTAGACTGCTCCTTCATTTTGCGCTAATAAGACAGCTGTCTTGCGGCAGGACGAGCCTGGCATCCTCGAATTGGTAGGATGCTGGTGTGGCGTTGTTGGCGTGTCTGCCTAGAACTGTAACCCCAGTATTGTTCTGCTGATGGAGGATGCTCGTCGGAGTTCCCCGGCAGCATCTCGATTAGTGTAATTGCGCGGAACGCGCTGATAAAATCACCACTTGTCAGGAAGGATGTGGCTGGGAAAGGTCAGGCATAACTTGGGAAAGGGAGGCAGCTCTCATCACTAAGGATTTAGTGTCGCTAGTCTAAACGATGGAAGTGTGGAATATCTCTTCAGCATTTGGCATATTGTATTTCGGAGTGGGAAGACGTACCTCATGGGTGTATGGTTTTCAACAGCCTTGATATAGGACAGTAAGGGAAAACTACAAGGGTACCTGATTCAAGCTTCCAAAATCCTCAAAAGCTTCGACTGTCACATCCAGCAGATTTCCACAGCATGAACAGTCAAGCATGAGTCAGAGGACAAGGGGAAACTACATGGAGGTGCATTTAAAACCAAGGATAAGGCACTTCTTTACACAAGGAGTTGTGGGTGTATGAAACAAGGCAATCAGTCATATTGTTGAAGTTGAAAGCCTGTTTTTTTTGAAGAACTGGGCAGGTGAGACCCTTGGATCATTTCACGTCTAGCTACCGAACAGGCCAGGTGCACTGAAGGGCCCCCTCTCATTCCAATTCTTCCGCTCTTAATTTACAGGAGAGCTTTGAGATGATGCTATGAAAAAGGCAATCTATGATCTAGTATGCTGTTGCTCATGACGCCACTGGGTTCTAATCCATGTGTTCTGTGTTGTGGTTTACAGAAGGTGTCTGAAGCTGCTGGACAGGGTGTCACCATCACAGGCACTGAGCCCTTCAACAATTGGAACTGGCCTAATGCTGTCATCTTTGCTGCTACAGTCATCACTACAATAGGTGGGTCCCCTCCTGTTCCCAGCCTGTATGTCGGAGCTCTCTTTCTGAAGGAATGGGAGGAAATGTGGTTTGGTTGTAAAAGATTACCAGTCACTGGAAACCCAGCTACATTCTAGGCTAATCTCAGTTTTTTTTTATTTTAGCATAATGTTAAAAAGCTAGTTATTTACCATTAAACAGAGAAGAATGTACATGTAGATTAATGCTTTAGAATTCCTATGTATCAGTATCCCTTTAATCAGTGCAGATAACATGGGAACTAAAAATAGGTTGCTACAAGGATAACATTACTTTTGAAACTTTATCAGATCTTGTCAGGCAACTATCACATTTTAGATTATCAGAAAGAGGTTGTTTTGTATGCTGCCTGGATTATGTTTCCACTGAAACAAAATGGATACAAATTAAAAATACTTCAAATATGCATTCACACATTTTGAAAGATTTTTAATTGTGGGGAAAGCAATTTTGAACCAGTGCTTGACAACAGTTAGACTCATGCAGCCTATTATAAAAAGAAAACACATTACATAGTTTTAAAAAATGACATTTTACATTCTGTTGCCGAGTGCTGGGCTAGCACAAGGTACAGTCTTGGATACCATAGCTGCTCTTAGCTGGATATTGATGTAACCCAAAAAAAACTCTGCTGCTGTGTGCACTGATGCTTTGTTCTTGCCTACTCTATTTAGAAATAAGCATATGACTGAATTCAAAGTTGAAGAGACTAGCAAAGTAAAACCAAACTTCACTGAAATATTGCTTCTGATGGTCCCTGTAGGTTATGGAAACATCGCTCCCAAGACGCCTCAAGGCAGGGTCTTCTGTATCTTCTACGGGCTCTTCGGCGTCCCTCTGTGTCTCACCTGGATCAGTGCGCTGGGCAAGTTCTTTGGAGGGAGAGCCAAACACTTGGGTCAATACCTGACCAAGAAAAGAGTCTCTTTGGTAAGGTCATGCGCCTGTCCTGGCTGTAGGACACGATCTTGCCTTTCCTGCTGTGTGAGTGGGGAGCACTGCCTGTCCATGAGTGACCATGGAATGCGATAACCCTGCCTAGTCACATCTGTATTCACTAACTGTATATTATTTCCGTTAATCGTGCAAACTGTTTTGCAAGTTATTTAACCTCAGTGATTTGATACCAAAGCTGTTTTTTGATGCTATGCTTTTTACTTGAGTCTCAGGTGTTTTTGCTCTGCATGTCTTTATGATCAATGGTTTCCTCAGAACTCTTTCGATCTTCTGCTTTCAGAGAAAGGCCCAGTTTACCTGCACTGCCTTGTTCCTCCTCTGGGGGGTGGTGATACACCTTGTGATTCCCCCCTTTGTCTTCACCGCGTTTGAGGGCTGGACCTACATCGAGGGGCTTTATTTCTCCTTCGTAACCATAACGACCATCGGCTTTGGGGACTTGGTGGCAGGTATGTTATGCAGAAGATGTGTGTGCAAACGACTCTTAATGAGCCACAGAGCTCTGCAACTTTAGGATAATGAACTAGTTAAAATAACTTCCCCCTTCAAATTCCATGGGAAGGAACTCCTGGAGCTATTTTGACTGTAGCTGCTTTACTTATGTATACAACTATGGATGTTTTCCTAATCTTCTTTTCAGGACAGATGCTTTTTAATCAGAGGGTAAAATTTTAAAGCACTGTAAGTGCAGTTAGAACTGACAACAGGAGATACCCCTTTACATAAAGGGTTGTGGGAGTGTAGAACAGGCTACTCAGCCACATTACTGAAGTCAATACCCTGGTTTCTTATCCTCCTTGTGCTTTGGAACATAAGCCATGAGAGGTTTCATACAATAGGATGCCATTCAACCCGTCTAAGCCATTTGGTAGTAGCCAGTTGATCCAATCATCCCATCCAGCCATTTTTGGAAGGAAGTGGAATGACAGGATGTCTTGTTCCATCCTTTTGCAACCTCCCAAGTAAAGAAGTGCCTCCTGTAGAGAGCACAGTGATCAGGAGCGTCTCTCTCTCTCAGCTGAGCGTGTAAAGAAGTACCTGACAGGTGTTTCGGTATTCCATTGTCTCCACATACCCACTGTTTTTGTCCTTGAACTGTGTTGGAAACTGTCAGATGTTAGTATTTGCTTGGCCATTGAATTAAGAACTCGGGTATGGCTAACAAACACCCCCGCAAGCCGCCTAGTCAAAATGGCACTTAGTACATGATGTGGAAAAAGCATACAGATTATTCTGTCAGCACTCAACCACTGCTAATCTGCAGTTTGTGCTGATAGCAGGTTCTCAAAAACAACGCTGTTGGCCATTTCTCCACCCCCCTTTTAGGAAAACTTGCATTCGGCTAGTTCCCTTTATTAAGGTCTTCCATTATCTGTAATTCCACATTAGAAACCTCAAATGCAGTTGAAATTTGGAGGGGGGGAAAGGGAAAATAAATCGCACAGCATTAGTCATAGTCTTATCAGATACATTAGGTCACTTATCAGATATTTAAACAATGGAAATACTTTTAAAAGAACTATGTCGATACCATTGCATTATACACAGATTTGGCCAAGTCAGAGCTGTTGAAGCATTAAAACCTATAAAAGTACAATCTGATGCTTATTAAAACTGCATCATAACCCAGTATTGCAAGCCTTCCCATTTACTGTTACAGTCAGAAGCGCTGGAGATGATAGCCCAGGAATCTGTGCAAAGCAGAGTGGCCAGGTTTTCCAGGAATGTTTACCAAGCAAGGCAGGGGATGAGGACAGAAAATGTCTCAGTTGGGGGGGGGATGCTAGCTTATTCTAAAAGGGAAGTAAAAATAAATTGAACACAGAAGTGTGGTTTTCAAAAGAGCTCTAAATAAGTGGTTGCTGATTTTCTTCCTAGGTGTCAACCCAACTATTGTGTACCCAGCTCTGTACCGCTACTTCGTGGAGCTATGGATCTACCTGGGCCTGGCCTGGCTGTCACTGTTCTTTAACTGGAAGGTGAGGATGTTTGTCGAGGCCCACAAGGCCCTGAAGAAGAGGAGAAGACGCCGAAAGGAGTCTGAGGAGGAGATGCGCCACTGCAAGGAGGAGAACAAGAAGGCCCTGCACCTTGCGTGCAACGCCAACGACGCCAACATTTTCAAGTTCCTGTCCAAGAAGGAGGAGGGCTACAATGACCTCATCAAGCAGATCGGCGTTAAGAACGGAAGTGCCGGCCGGGGGGACGGCGGCAGCAATGTCCGCAGCAAGAGCTGCAACGGCAACGTCAACGAGATCCTGAAGTTCGACAGCTCGCCCCGCCAGCGCCGCCGGCACAGCTTCGGCGACAGCGTCCTGTTCTCCAAGAGGAGGTGCCTCCTGACGGAGGAGGAGGAGAACCGGGAGCTCCTGCCCGACCTGAGCGGGAAGATGGACCTGGAAATGCGGGAGCAGGCGTACGAGAACCAGCTGGACAAGGAGGGCAGAGAGGGCAGGTACGGCTGGGCCTGCAAGGAGTACCAGGCCCTCATCTTCCAGAACGCCAACATCACCTTCATTGACGAGGAGAACCTGCTGAACGACGACTCCAAGACCAAAATCTCGACGGACGAGAATGTCGAGTCGGAGTCGGACTCGCGGGAAGAGAGGGCCTCGGAGTCAGAGGGCTCCGTTTTCACCATAGACAGCTCGGACCGCTCCCTGTCCTACGAGCAGCTGGTGGAGGAGTACTCCAAAGTGGACAACACGGACATCCCTACGTGAGCCCCGGAGTGGGTTTCAATTATTGATGATTGATTTATTCTGCTTTTTGGACCTAACAAGAGACTTTCTCACAATCTGCCATGTTGAAATGAGCAAGAAGAGACCAATACTGTATACGCATTAAAAAACTTACTGGTACTAAGCCCATGCGCGGTTCTGTGCGCAGTCCAGTCAAATGAGTTTAACATGTGAAGGCAGGAAATGGAAAATCAGTCTGTCAGTCTTCAAGATACCAGTGTTTTTGGGCCTAGTAGAGCAAAACTTCCTGTGAACTTGTAATCCATAGAAGATCCATATCCGAGTCTGGTTGCCCTGGTGGCCAGCTCATAAGGGACTCATGGGTTTTAAGAAGGACCTGAAGTGGGGGGTAAATGCAGCTTCATCCTGCTTCTAGCGTTTTTTATTAATCAAAAGTTTTAATTGTCCTTATGTGGACCTTCTAGGATCCAAACAATTTCCTGTTTTCTCCCATGTCTTCCACTGTGGAGTTCTACGCAGAAATGGGAGAACTTGACTTCTGCGCTTTTGTTTTAGATGAGGGACCAACCAGGCTGTGTCCTCCACTCAAGTGCCAAGAGGACAGCCATTAGGAGTGTTCCCGGGTGCAGAATATCCATTCACCATATTGGTGCATCTTGAATTATTTCTTGAAGGAATAAGTCTGTCATAATTGTGTGGTGTGCAGGAATTTCTTCTGCTCTGGTTCTGAGCTCTAGATCAAGGACTGTAATGGCCTCGGGGTGCTTTGATCTCGGACTGTTCGCAAGGCTTGGATTCTTGCACCACTTGCTGCGCTAACCAAATTGTCGGTTTCTCCCATACACTCCTGTTTCTTATCCACGGTGTACCGCGCTTCCTGGAACTGCTGCATGTGTTCCTGTTTTTGTAACACTCTGGTTGCGACACTGGTGTCTGGGCTAAGATTCAGTGGTAGAACTAGTAGACACCCGCTGTCTTTAAAGTCTTAAGTATGTCGTCCCTTCCAAAATGGGATGAGATGGAGAGACAGTCTTGTGCTTGGTCATGCTGGGATTGCGATTCAAATAGGTGGACTGGCACACTAGTCCTCGTCTCTTCTGGTTTTTACTCCAGCTGAGGTGATCAAACCTATTCACCCTTTAGTTGACCTAGTTGCTTTAAAGTCCCTTTAGCCTTTGAAAATCTAGAGAAGTTTGGAAGTTAGCAGTAACTTTGTTTCAGAATTACCTTCTTATTATTTTTGCTTATTTCAAGATGGCGTTTGAACAGTGGGTCACAGTGGACTATAAGTGCTTGTAATGTGGGTGTTGGAGACTTTATATCAATATTTAATAACTGATTATCGGTTTCCCGTTGTTCCCACTGATATAAGAAAGCAATCCTTTAATCATTGGAAATAGTTTCAGACATATCCTTCATATGTGTTATTTCAAAGAAACACTGCAAACAGTACTATCAAGAACAGAGAACATTTTTAAAAATTAAAAGGTGGTTCAATTAAGACTATAAGCTTAATCAGTAGCCTCAGCTGGAGCAAAAACATGACTACTGATGTGACTTTGTTTTTTTAGATTTGCACAAAGGCTTGTTGAAAAATAGACCAGCCCTGCCAGGTGATCCATTAACAGTGATGCCATTGCTCGGTGCAAGCATAAGTGCCTTACGTTTAGGATTCAGACTCGCACTTTCTTTGTAGTGCCAAGTGAGGTGATTCAGTCATCACTGCCTCTAGCAAGGAGACCTCTGTCTTTTTTTGGGGGGGGGGGGCTTTGTGAAGGCAGAACTAAACAGTACATTTTCTGGTTAAACATTTTGAAACCCTTGTGTTTGAGTAAGAGATTAGGTGCTCTTTCCTTGCGAGTGGAAGTGCTGAACTACCTGTTTTTTATGTCAGAGTGACACAATTACTGAAAGTGAAAAACGTTACTGCTTTTGTGAGCAGTGGATCAATTCTTTTATACCCCTTTTACGTTGTTCCCAGTAGTTTCTTTTTTTGAACAGTTCACCTCCTGAAGAAACGAACCTGTTTTGTTTCAATTTGTGCCATCAAGTGCTGTAAAACGGTTGCTTATGCATTGCATCAGTTTTGCTTCTGATGTGGACTGGGAGTTGCATTCAGGCTGAAACACGTTTTTGCATGTTATACTTGTTTTTCGCTTTGCACGGAGAGCTTGGCAGCATGGAATTTCTTACATTTGTGTGAGAGGTCAAGCTCGGTGCGCGGCCTGTAATTAAATTATTGCAACCATCTCCAACAGAAAGAGCAGACTCCCCATCTGCAAGAATCCTTCTTCTATTTTTAGCACAGAAGCCCCTTCCACTCCACTACTTCTAGCTTTTATTAAAATCACAGGTTTCCCTTGTGAGTCCCGGAAATGAACAGGATGAACATGTGCTGGAAAAGCATGCAAGCTCATGACCATTCCTTCAGTGACTGAGTGATAGCAAATGCTGTGGAAATGTTTAAGATTGTAGTTAAATGGTTGCTTACTTACAGCTGTCAGCTTTGTACACTGCCTCATCAGAACAGGAAGTCTTGCTGCAGTTGTAAGGCAAGTAAAACCACAACCTCAAAGTGGAACATTTCTTACAGTATATTTAGTGATTAGTGTGAAATGGACATTTTTTGGTTTTTGTTTGTTTCTGTTTGCTTGTATCTTTTGTGAATTAATTGATATATTCCTGGTCCTAACAAGCTTTCCCCGTGTCATGCTTTCATGTTCACTTTGCAAATGCAATCTTAACAAAATCACAAGCCTTATTTCATAAATAAGGCTTGGTTGTTCAGTGGTTTAGCCAATAGTGCAAAGATGTCGCTGAACAAATTCAGTGAAAATTCCTGTAGGAACTTCCTTACACTCCACGTAGCATTCAGCTGCCTATCTGCAACCGAACTTTGAAATTGGAAAGAAATCAGGGAATGATTACCAGGGGATAGTAAAGGTACATCATTATCAGGCATGAATACGTTGAAAAGAGGTGATTTGACTGGACTCCTTTTCTGTGTCAAGCACTGCCAGAAAGGCCCCGAATTAGCAGGGTGAAGTGATATTTGCTTGCTTGAAACCGAGCCATGGGAGTGTACAGCAGCCGAATAAACCCTTTCAGATCCCGGGCCCATGGGGAGGCAGTCAGTTTCGAAAACAAGTGTGCTTTCTTAAGTGGAGCACGAGGATACATGTAAACGAAATAAATAAAAATGCACATTGACCCACACACAACCACGCAACTCAAGTGCCGAGAGTTCAGCCGCCGTGGTGCGACAGCAGTTTGACTGCTGTCCCTTTGGGCCATTTTATTCCATTTTTCAATAAGGCCTGCTTAAGGATCTGAGATCTGCTGACAACAAGTCCCCTCAAAGCTTGTGAGCAGGATAATAAAAATGGCACTCAAAGCCAAACGGAAGTCTCATAATCTAAAACGAGAAGGAAATGTAAAATCCAGAATGTCGTTGTGTGCTTCTGGTGTATGAGTGATTACACTTATTGGAAATCACTGTATTTGTATACCACTGGAGAGGAAAAGAACCCTTAAGCTCCACATAATGACAGGCTAATGAGCAATGTTTTTTTTTGTTCAGTTTCTACAGGCGGTGGTTTCTGTATCGATTTGCACAGCTGATCGATGCCACTGCGTCCCCAGTGCGGTGGAAAATCCAAACCACCGGTGGCCTTCAGAGTCGTGAAATTCCAATCCGAGCCACGGGTTTTAAGCTGCTGAGGTTTAAAATGTACAGAAGAAAGTTTTATAAACGAGAGGAGGCCGTTTGGTCCTTAGCTCGTTTGGATTTTAGTAACTAATTGAACACTTGTAATACTGTAATTCTGCTCTGGCTATGATATCATGGTACCATATCTTATAGGATTATGCCAAGAGTCTCTGCTTCTTGAACAGGAGCCATCCTTAATGATTATATCTCCGCTTCTGCATAGCAGTGTTAACAAAGCCCTTTCTCGGAGTCGAAGTCTCGTGTGCGTTTGTGATTTCTCAGGTGCCCATCTTAGGGCACATCTTACCATGTCACTTTTACTTTGGATAAAAGCCTGCTCATGATTTTTAAGTATCCAGTCTTAAATCAGCTTTAAAAAAAATGTATAGGTACTGTTGAGGGCTCTGAATGACATGAAAACGAAAGGGTTTTGATTCTTGGAGAGCATGTGATGTTGGTCTAGCAAAGTTTTTTTTTTCCACAACTCCATTAGCGTAAAACGTACTCCGGCGTATTTGTTTTGCTGTTGTGGTTAATCTGAATTATTTATCATTGGGGAAAAGTGTTCTGTACATATTGAATGGCTTTTTAAAGTATAATTTATTTCAATATTTTAAATAAACTTTTTATAAAATGTGTTTTGTTGGTGTGTTTTTTTTTTCTCAAACTTCTGAAAGTGGTGAAAAAACGAATGAGCCAATATGATGACGCTCGAGTGTGTGTGTGTGGGGGGGGCAGGGGTGAATTCTGCATGGAGGAAAGTAGGAAAAGAAAAGGGAGCTCCAGGTGTCACAGAAAGTCTTGAATTGAATTGGACACAGACAAATCCCAGGGTGTTTCTCAAAATGAGTAGGGGTGTAACCCCTTGCATCAACCAGCTGGGGCTGCACATTGGTGGTTTGGAGGGAAGTCCCTGTTAAATGAGTCTCCAGAAAAGCACTACATAAGTATCAGGAATCATTATAATTAATATTCAACAAATAGAACTGCATGTACATATTGAGCAATGATAGAAATCAGATTCCTTAGTTTTTCTCAGTGACTGATGTAGCCTCCTAATGTAAAGAATACTAACTGAACTTTGACCTCCAGGAAAGACTTTCATATTCATCGTTCATTCCTAAGAAGATGAGCCAACATTTACCAAATTGAACTTAAATTTCTACCTCACCTTTACCAGCATTTCCTGAATTCCTACTCTTAGAATCCTTGCTAGGCCCCAGATCAAGCCACATCTGAGTGAGTTCACAACTCTTTCTTTATTAGGTGTCCTAGGTTTTGTCATTTAGCAGATACTACTGTATATTGGTGTTTTTCCAGCCAAGCTACTGTATAAAGAGGAGGTGTCCAGTCCTGGTCCTGGAGGGTCAGTGTGTCTGCAGGGTGTCCAGTCCTGGTCCTGGAGGGTCAGTGTGTCTGCCAGGTGTCCAGTCCTGGTGTCTACAGGTTTTCACGGCGTCTTTTGAGCAGCAGCATCTAAAAAGCTGGGAGAAGATGTCAGTCTTGAACTTGAACTTTATTGCCATATGTAACCGGTACTGGTACAATGGAATTCTTACTTACAGAAAGTCTCTCGATTATAAAACAAGTGTAAAAAACAAAACAAAGTGCAAACAGTGCATCAAGACAATGTACAAACAAACAATAGACAATGTGCAAGTAAACATGCAGACAGTTTGAATGTAAACAATACAGACGTGTAAACAATGACTGGAGACGTACAATTAATAAATTACAATGAGGTAGATGGTGATGGTGTAGGTGTGGTCTGAGGGGGATGGCTAAATGTGTTCGCCAGTCTCACTGCTTGTGGATAGAAGCTATTGAAGAATCTAGTGGTGAGTGTCTGTATATCTCTTATACGGACACTTACCGCTCTTATATCTCTTGCCTGAGGGCAGTGGGGTGAAGAGCTCATGCCCTGGGTGGTGACTGTCCTCTGTGATGGCCAGAATTCTACCACGGCAGCGGTCCTCATAGAGCTGTTTAATCTCGGTGAGACCACAGCCGATGATCTTCTGGGCCATATTGACCATTCTCTGCAGTGCCTTTCTTTCTCGCAAAGAGGTGTTGCCATACCACACGGTGATCCCGTTGGTGAGGACGCTCTCGATAGTGCAGCGGTAGAAGTTCACCAACACATGTATTGGCATCCCCCATCGCTTGAGGCACCTCAAGAAATAAAGGCGCTGCTGAGCCTTCTTCATGATAGAGTCAGTGTTCACAGTCCAGGTTAGATCTTTAGAGATGTGAATTCCCAAAAACCTAAAGCTGGTGACTGTTTCCACTTCCATTCCATCAATACTGAGTGGGCTGTGAGTGTGTGGCCTGTGTCCGAAAGTCCACTATTAGCTCTTTCGTTTTCTTTATGTTCAAGTCCAGGTTATTGCTATGACACCACCTAAGCAGCTGTACAACTTCATCCCTGTAAGTGGACTCCTCATCATCACTGATCAGTCACTTCTGTCCAGTTGAGCTGAATTGCGACAAAATCCCACAAACACACCAGTCCTCCAGGACCACGACTGGACACTTTTACACTATAGTTCCTGTATAGTATGATATTGCTATGCAATTGCTATAAAGCTGTTTGATTTGTATGTTTCCCCTAAAACCAGGATCGAGAAGCAACAGGGCTAAGACAAGCTCCCAGTGCTTTACTTTGTTTTATCTAGCTTTTCGTTCTGCGTATTCTGGGTTCCCTGGCCCATCTGTGTCCAGTGTGACAAGCCCTGGCGCAGCGTGCCTGCATAGCTGCACACATTGCAAAACAAGTGGCCACTCAGTACAACCCCACGACGTGCTCTGTTTGTTTTGCAGTTCCTGGTTTTGGCTGCAACAACTGCATGGGCTTTCGTTCCAACTCAAGTCAGGTTATCCTTCTTCCACATGGCTGCTGGCCATGGCTGGTTTTGTCACTTCTTCCAGATTCCTCTTTTCTGATGCAAGAGCCGGTTGGTTGGTGCAGATATGACAGGGCTCAGTGGTCTGAGTGAATTCCAGCTGTGATGTCATCATCCTCTGACATCTAGACAGTGCAGATCTCGGCCGCAGGAGAGGAAATGGGCTATTCGCATGGCAAAGTTATCTGCTGTCTAGACTGGGGAGCCAGCACAGCAGGTTGGCGCTGTGCACTCTCAGAGACCACGAGTCTCTGAAATTGTACCCTGGAGTTCATGTCAAGAGAAGTTATTCTAAAGTTTTACAGTTTAAGACTTGTGGGAGTATAGAAAAGTCTGCCAGGCCATGTCATTGAGGCCAGTTCCCTGGCTTTTTTCAACAACTGGCTGATTGAGATCCTCCAATGTAGACAGGAGGAACGTCTTTACACAAGGGATTGTGGGTGTCTGGAACAAGTTGCCCAGCCAAGTTGTTGAGGCCAATACTGTGGCTTTGTTTGAGAAACAACTGGATGAGATCCACCGATCAATTTCCTACTCACTAAAACATGGGCTAGATAGGCTGAAAGGTCTCCCTGTTGTTTGAAACCTTTCTTATGTTCTTAAACCTACACATTGGGAGGATGGTATGCTGTTATAAAATGGAGATAAAAACCTGAGAGAAAGTCTACAACTAGACAAAGTAACACATTGTAAGGGCCTATGCTTAATGAAACAGAAAGATGACATCTCAAAGGAATTTTGATCTGGCTTTTCTAAATTTTAAAGAAAATCTATTAAAGTCATTAAAGCTGACCCTTGGAACTTTTGTTTAAAATAACAAGAGCACAAGGGCAGCACAGTGGCTCAGTGGATAGCATTGCTGCCTCGTGGCACTGAGACCCTGGGTTTCATTCCTGGAGTCCTATCAGTGTGGAGTTTGCATGTTCTCCCTGCATTTGTGTGGGTTTCCTCCATGTGCTGCAGTTTCTTCCCACAGTTCAGTGACATAGTGGTAGGTTAATTGACTTTTGGAAAACTGGTCCTGGTCTGACTGTGTGCATGTCTGTGTCTGTGTCTGCCCTGGTGATGGACTGGTGTACCATCCAGGGTGTATCTTGCCTTGCACCTTGTTGCTTGCAAGGATAGGCTTTGGCTGCCACATGACCCCGTTTTGAAAATGGATGGATGGACACATGCACAAGGCCATCACTGGAAACTAGTGAAAAGTAAATTTCTCACCAATACTTGACAATACCCTTTTTACAGTGAGAAATAAGTAAACCATGAAACAGATCTAACAAGGCACCATGATACAGGAACCTTTTAAAACTGAGCTTGACCATGTGGCAGAATCACTAAGGGCAAATAATGAAGCAAGTTCTGAAGGGTACATGGCCTGTTCTGGTCATAATTTTCCTGCTCTTTTATCCTGTTAAAGGTGTCTGAGATAGATCCCACAACAATCCGATCAGCTGAATCCTGAGAAGTGTCTGCAGTGGGAAGGAATATTGCCAAGTGTCATCATGTGATACAGAAGGTTGGAAGAAGTTCTGAGGGAAGAGACCAGATTAACACAAAGCCTAGATTAATCTAGGTCCTAAAGGGCAAAACCTGAATGCACAGTTTTACGTCACTTAGTATAAATCACTGCAGCAAAAATAAAAAACAGGACAAAGGCGACTCTAACAGGAAGACTGAACGTTGTTAAAGGATTTTTCAAATGAGTTTTGTTAATACTCCCTTACTTGGATGTAAGTACTTCAAGCCTGTTGAAAAACTAAAACATGCAATTCCAGAGTTTAAAACTAATCTATTTCTCAGTTAAAAAAAAAACCCAATGAATGTGTGGAAAATGTGTGGCAATTACATGGAGAACTAATTTCTATTCCTTTTGTTTTTAATGACTTATAGAAATGCGGAACCCCTTTTCTCAGCTTTAAGTATAAAATCACGTGTTGTCATACGAGGACAGAACACAGAGCTGTGTACGCACTTCGCTTTAAGCAAGCAAAATTGAAAATGTTCTAATTCGGTTGTAATCCTAGGTGCTTAAAAAGCCTGAAAACCAGCCATATGGTAGTAAAGTCGGATGTCAGACACAACATACTATTTTAAACACATTCCCATTCACTCCATCAACACAGGCCAAACAAGCATCTAGCCCACAGAGCTGAAAAAGTGTTCCCTTGACTGGGCACAGGGAAAGATGTGGAGCGTCTTCAGAGCTCAGGGACATAGCAACATAGCATACTCCTTTTAGACTGGCACTTTCTATCATTCAGTTCCTCCAGCAACTACAGTGACCTGCGAATGTCAATCTTTTTTAATCAAGTCACATGAGACAACTCCACAGCGTCTCGAGCCACACTGCCCAAGCGCGTGTTTAGCTCCTGACAAGGAGGAGCTAAATTCTCTTGAGAAGCAAGGTACTGTATGTGACAACACCACAATTTCCTTATTTTATACAGAATGAAGTTTCAGCAGCACTGAAACTATACCAAAGTAAAGAAAATATTTGCAGTATGACAGTTCTGTGGTATCATACTGTACGCATGTTTCACTCGTGCAGACAAAGACATGATGCAGTACCAGTCTCCTGAACTTTTTAAATTCCTTGGGTGAATAAAGACCAGGCACTATTAATCATTAATACTCCCAGAGGGCATGTTACACAAGTGCATAGAGACCTTGAGAATTTTGGCACAGGATAGACCATGAGGGATGATCCTGCAGCACTGGTACTTAAAAGCACAAGA